TTAACACGTCGTGTTTGCCTCTGCCTTTCCACCACCTTGAAAGTAGCACTCAGTGCTGCTGCCTGAAACAATTTGAGCCACAGACTTCTTAAACTGAGGTATAGGGGAGTGGGCAGAGAGAAGGGCCCTTTGAGGAGATATTCCCCCCCCCAGTTTATAGCATGTAATTTTACAAGTAACCCCCTGAGGGTCCTCCTCCAGCCAGAGGCAAACGCTCTCCTGGAGAGCAAAACAGATGAGCGACCATCATGGATAACCACGGAGCCTGCCTCAGGGATTCAGGCCAGGCAGAAGCAGTTTGTTTCTGTAGCTGTAGGAGACAGCAGAGTTCAGCCCCTGCAAGCTCTGCCTTAAAACAGAAGTGCTAGGGTGTATGTTTGCAGCAAGTATAAACTGCTCTGCGAAGGGGCCTGGCATGGCAGAGCAGCGGCTGCACGGAGGAAGCTTGGTTGGCGTGGATGGACCTGTTTGGTCCTGATAACCAGGAATGTGCAGCCTCCATGCACGCCTGCTCAGCTCCTCACTCTCTCACTGGCAACACAGCTGTGTCCTTGACCAACTTTCCCGCCCAGCAAGCACAGCTCCCACAATGTTTTTTTCCGAGCTGCCCACTGGAGCTCAGTCAGCTGCCAGAGGTAGGTGTCTCCAGGCTGTCCCCTTACCTGGATGCTCCTCCCTCCCCATACCAAACTTCAACCTTAAAAAAAATTAAAAGAAAAATAAATATATAAGGTATTTGCTGATGAAGGTTCTGGCAGCTGCTTGCTGTACTCATCAAAGAAAAGGAAGTGCTGAGTATTTCCTTGTACGAAGTGTTTCTATATTCAAAGTGCTCTGCGGTTCACTTGCCAATGCCGATTCCCTCCCACCCCACACACAGCCCACAGGTCACAAACCCAAGCGGGAGGTAGCTGGCTGCCCACACCCTCGTCACTCTATACTTTCACACAGTGACACTCATACCTTTGTTTTCCTTGCGACAGTCACCATTTCCTCATGGAGTGAGGACAGAGACGGGGCAGCCTGCTGCAGGCACGTTCATGCTTGAATCGGCACCGTCAACACCAAGCCCAGCAAGTTTCTCCCGGAAAAGCACAAATGCATCATGTCCCCAGCCCCAGAGCATCCTGCCAAAGTGGGAGGGTGGGAGGGGGGAATGGAATCGTGTTTTAGAAGGGAAGTGTCCCTCCTGTCCCCACCAGGGAAGTAAGGCAGGCAAACAGGGAAAAATTACTTGTGGCCCATCCAGAGCATCCCAGCAGAAGCTCTTCCCAAGGACCTCCCAGGCCCTGGGACCTCCGTGGCTCATGGCCCCACTCATGGGGGCTCAGACTTGGTGGCAATAAGGGAAGCCGTATGCAAACATGCCACCAGAGAAAACACGCCGAGAAAAAATAAAGCATTTTTGTGCTGGTATTTCTTCCAGTGCTGGCAGTCATAATTTGTTTCTGTTTTAATTTGGGGGGCATTTGTTTTGCTTTGTTTTGTTTTTAAACACCAATAGATACAACATTTCCTGGTGAAGCTTCTCTTATCTCCTAAAAGAGCTAACACTTCAAACTAGGAAATTAAGCTGGAAAAATCACACAGATCTTTGCCCTTCATATGCTGTTTTCCATCCACCTCTCTTATAACCTGGCTTTAAGACTGTCTTTACCAAAACCAAAACCATATCCTTTTTTTCAGTTACAGAGTTCTATTCTTGAAACTAACGAAGGTGTTTAAAATAACTATCTGTTTTAATGACACTACCCAAGAAATTCCATTAACTGTAGTAAATGAAGTGCACCAGAAAACCCCACCCGGCCACCTGGCCGGACAGACCAGTATGGCAGGCAGGCTGAGATGTGGGCTCCCAGCCACCGCACCAGCACAGCCCCCGTGGCCTTACAGCAGCTGATGTTCTCATCCATTACTTCTGCTTTGTTCCTCTCAGCATGCTGTCCTCCCCTCCAGATTTCACACAGAAAAATACAAAGAACACAGAAGCACAGTTTAGCTTGCTGACATAATGCCCATATTTAATCTTTTAAAACAAGAACAAAATCAAGAATAAAATCAAGAATAAAAATTTCATTTAAGTCATACAGTACATTAATCTTTCAGCAATGACCCAATCTACAGTACTCAAATGCCTGGCATGAAGTCTATTATCTCAGCGTTTAACAAGTGTATAACCAGTGACACAGTAAAAGAAGAGCTCACAATACACAGCTAACACGATGAGTTTAGATTTTCTTCTGAGAGTCCAGCTAGGGTTTGTAATATGTGGGTCACTTTTGAACCGTACTTTAATCAACTTTTTTGTTCAGTCAATCTGTTTGGGGCTTTTTTTTCTGTTATAGGAGTCTTTCCATTATGTACAGGAAGATTATTTCAAATGAAACTGCACAAGTTAGAATATCTATCTATAGGCATACATGGTCAATCTAACTAAAAATTTAATAAGCAGTAATTACTCAGTCCTGGTTATACATTCCTAAAGGCTTAATAATACAGTTTTAAGACAAAAAAAAAAAAATAAAACAAAACACAACAAAACACAGTTGTAGGGTGCCAATCTCTGTAAGAAACCTCCCTCCCTCCCAAAACAACCAAGGGTTAACTGTACTTTCCACATTTGAAATGGGGTCTACAAAGAAGTTGTTTCAGCTCCTAAGTAATACAAAACATGTGACTGCGTCCTTTCTCAAGTCTGAATGGTTCAACGCGTAATTCAGTGAAGCTCTCAAACAAATAATACTGGTAGGATGCAGACTGTTAACAGAAATTAGGACAATATGCCCCCATAGCGCATTTGGCTATCAAAACTGTGTGTATTAAGGGGCTGTTACCCAGTGGTTGCAGCAGCTTGAGGCAGGAGGACAGCCCTCCCTGCAGCAGCTGCCGAGCAAGGGAAAGGGTGGGTGCTTCTGCTCCTCAGCCACGGCCAACGCCGACTCTCCCCCAGCTCCTGCTCCTGGCCCGCTGGCCCACACTCCTCACCAGCTCCTGCAGGGAAATCCCCAGCCAGAGCCGCGGCGAGGAGCAGCGCGGTGGCTCTCCGGCCCCTGGCCCCCACTGCTGCGGGCACCTGAGCGCCAAGAGGCATCACCCTCTGCAGAGCAGCGCTACCGAGGGGCACCTCCAAGGTTAACCAGCTCAGGGGCAGCGGAGCACCTTCCTCCCACATGAGCAAAAATTAAACATAGCTAATTAACACAACCGCTTTGACTTGTTTTAATCTCTCTTTTCTGGTGCTAGGTCCTGCTACAAATGGAGAAAACCCATAGGCAGCTGTTCTCCTACATGGAAAAGCAGCAGAACCTTAAGCCCTGCGGATCTGCTTTGTAATTTGCTACTGGCATAAACAACAACAAAAAAAAAGTCCCATTTGGTTGGTTGTTTTTTGTGGTGTTTTTTTAAGAAAAAAAATCCAGACCATCCAGCGCACCTTCTTTGCACACACACACACAGGCACACGCACCAATGGAGAGCGCCAGAACAGGCATGGGAACCACAAAGCCCAAACTCTGAAAAGACATGGGGAATCTCACATTCCTGTTTTCAATTCTTATTTAGCAATGAAGCAGCAAAAGGATGTATTGCAAGAAATAAACGGTCACAGAACACACATATGCCCAAACGCAACCATGGACACATTTTTCCCTTTTTTTTTTTTTTTTTTTTTTTTTTTCTGATAGATGCTGTTATTCATGTGATAGTTTCTTTCTGGCTGTGCTGAAGTATTTGAAGAGCATCTGGTGCTTCTTTAACCTTTATCAGAATGTAAGAACCTCAGTGGCAACAACCAATCTCATTAGTGCCACAACTAACCATCTCCACTTGAGATTCTCTATGAACCCCCTCTGGAAGTTAAATCTGACTCTGCCCCTTTGGTGCCACTCTGTTTTGTTTTTTGTTTTTTGGGTTTTTTTTTGTTTTGGGGTTTTTTTATGTTTTTTTGTTTTTTTTAATTAACAAACACAGCATATTAATGCAAATTTGCTGTTTTCTAAAAATTAGAAATGCTCAGATAATTAGTTCAGCAATATGCAAAGTGCATCTATTTGGTTCTTCCCATCGATCACCTTCTCTTCTAAGTTTAAATTCCTTCACAGTTTAAAATATTGTGAAGAAATTATATGTATACTTTATGTATAGAACTATTTATATACATACACATATATACACACAACTCTGTACTTTATATAGCCATAAACACTCATTACTTAACTATTTATATTATATACACATGGCATGAACACACACTTAGTGAGAGTTGGTGCAGGCTGAAATCATTCCATCGGGTTTAATGGAATAACAGTGAAATCATGAGTGAGTTACCAAGAGACACAGACATACACCTATTAGATAAGTGAAAGACAAATTACATCAGCTCTTCCATTTCCCTATTAGCACAGGATTGTTCCCACCCTATTCCATGCTCCGTGTGCACATACCCAGCTATTTTGCGGTCAGTTTACATGAGAGGGCAGTGGTGGTTCTTTTTCTAAATGAAAGAACAGTCCATATTTACTTGGGCTCATTGCAACCTCTTCTGCAGAAGTGCGGCACAGCTGGGTCTGGATGTCTTGGAGGACTCTGAACGCTGCACCGCCGTTAGCTGAAAGCACCTGCTGAAGCGTTATTGCATGGTTATGGGACATCTATCCATTGTTCACAGTCTGTGAATTCTCTCTCCAACAAGTGGTACAACTGTATAAATACATATTTTAGCACGAAACAGTTTAACACGAGGCAAGTCCAAGTACAAGTGAGACCTAAAGGCCTATGGGTGAACTTTAAAGGCCAAGAGTTCTTCAGAGTGCATGTTGTTTAAGGAACGCAAGTCAGGTAATTTTAAAAGAAGTTTTGTGAAAATAGAGGCTTCGTTTGGGTGATTTTTCATGATTAAGGTCCTTAATGCACGGATTAGTGTTTCCTGAAGTGCCTCCACAGAGTTGACATTTTCTATTCCGGAGCGATCTAAAGAAAAGAGGGCAAGGGGAGGAGGGGAGGGGAGAGGAGAGGGAGAGAGAAAAAAAAGAGAAAAACAGGGGGAGGAGGAAGAAGACAAAAAAAAAGACTGAATGGATGTAGTTGCAACAGAAAGAGCCCCCGCAAGAATCACTGATTAAATTAACAAGCACAAGAAAAATTAGATACTTATGCCAGAAGTTTCAAACCCACATTCTAAAAGTCCTGCGAACACTTTTTAGCATCAACTTTGTAGAGCATTAAGCTCACGCCGAACCGGCAGCATTCAATCGCCTCTTCTGTAATCACTTACTCATGTTTCCAGAAAAGGACAGATCAAAGCACATGTTTAAATACTTTGCTGAATTGCAACTTTCAACACAAGGATAGAGACAGGGCATACAGAAGTAAAAATTTCAAACGTTTCTCAAGGTTGGACACAGAACCCTAAACTTAAACTGGAGGTTCATGTTTGAGGAGGAAATCCCACACAGGACAAGTCACACCTGTATCTGCAGAGCGGGATCCCCAGGGGCAAAGGGAGTACAAGCTGTGACATGACCAGGCACTATTTCTGAATGTGTTCTGAAGCACTTAGAATGAAACATGATGCACCCAAAAATTCCCAACTGAGGAAGAAAAGAGGAATTTCAACATCAAGAAAATATTACGCTTTCAGATACTGCACTCACCCCATACCCAAAGCATCTCTTTCAAGAGAGTGATATTTAAGAACATGCTTGTTGTCCTTAGATGGAACCTAAGTAAGCAGCTCAAAAGGATGAATTTTTAAGCAAAACATCTGACCTAATAACCATGCAGGGTAGCTGTTTTTTTCCAAGCCGTAGCCTCTCTTAAACGCTATGTAAATTCGGCAGGGTGCATACATACACAAGTGACAGACGCGAACAGAAATGTGCTTTGATGTGTACATGTACTTAAGCACTTTGCAGAATTGGGACACAGAATGACAACAGCTTTCTGGAGTAGCACTGAGTCAGATCGTACAGTCAGAGTGGGAATCCCTTCCTTATGCTGTCCGTGGCAATCCAATCAGACTTCTCAGGTCAACAGAGTCTAGGAAGTCCTCCTGCATGCATTCAGTGCAGTTCCCTACCGCTATGGGAAAAAATTATTATATAATCCATTTAAGGATCCACCTTGAAGCAGATAATCTGTTTTGTTCCTTTAGAAAGATTGTTCCAGAACTTTCTACTCTAACAATTAGGAACTTTGATATTAAATTATGTTTATTAGCACATATTCCACTCTCCTGTAAAGACGCTCCATCAGCTTTGACAGCTGTCCTCCAGGAGAGCACAAGTAAAGAGATGCCTGTCTGCCATTATTTGTTAAACTATCTATCCCACTTGCGTCCCACTTTTTGCAAAACCTTTAGGTTTGCTCTACCTCGAGCAGGGATGATGACATTTGCACAGAAGAGGAGAATAGGTCAGATGAGGTTTCTCAAGAGCTCTGTAACAGTGACAGCAGTACCGCCTTGCCTCTGAAGGCAGAATGCAGTTCCAGCCTTTCCTGGCTACCTCAGTGGAGTTACTGCAGCCTCTTCTCTTCCATTAGCCCAAGTCTTTCTTCTCCCTCTCAGTCTACTTCCAGCTGCTCCCAGTAGCCAGCAGAAGTTTTTAGCACGACTCCAATAAGACAGAATAATAGCGGGTGCGTATTTCATATTCTTCTACCGCAGGGCATCACCCGCAGTTAAGAGACCATCTGGTCTCTAGGGCTGTATGAACCACATTCATTCAGCTTTGCTTCCACCTTGCTTCTTCCTTCTCCAGTGCCCATGAGCCATCTTACTATCTCCCCCGCATCTTCAACACATCCAGCAAACTGCAGCCAGAGGCAAACCATTCTTTTAATTTTGGAATAGTACCAAGATAACTCCATAGCACCACCAGAAACACTCTCACATCCCCACTATACAGCCCTGCCTTTTATTTGCCATGTGACACCAAAACAAGCGGATGTACAGTTACACGCACTCCTTGCTACCACCCCTACTTCATCTTTCCACATGTTCCAACTATCCCTCGTAAGAGCAATTATTTATCCAGTGTTATGTGGAGATACTTCTGACAAGTGTTCTCCCAGCTAGCACTATTTAGAGACTTATGAACATCTCTTTTTATTCCAGTGGCTTTTCTGAAAAATTTTTAAACAACTTAAAGTCTCTTTAAAAGATTTTTAACTAGTGCAGCGTGGTATGTCATATTCTGGATGACTTAATCAGGATTCAACAGTCAAACACTCCTGTCTACTTCTGGAACTGATGTAAACCTTGACTACTATCTTCCTTTCAATTTTCTCTTGAGTAACTTTCACTCCAAGATGAAGAAGCCTTAACGGCCTTATTCTTCCACCTTCAGTTCTTCTTCCAGTTACAGCATCTTTTGCCTTTGCCTGCATCTCCATGTCATTCTGATGCTCTTCCCCAATTCTTGACCCTTCTCTAATTAAGCTCTGCCTCCACCTTATGGGGAATGACCCTCCGGGTCATGCTTCTCCTTGAGGGGTGGGGTGTAGGGGATCTGTCTTTCAAGATTTGTTTAATCAACAGGTGCCCACAATCCCTCAGTTCTACAGGCACCTTCTCCTGGCAAACCCTCACACTGCCAGCATCTTCCCCAGGAGCATTTTTGGGGGCACTTTTGTTCTTCTTAGGTACCTGTTCGAGCGTGAAGCTTGCTCACTCACTTGTGCAAGTAACAACTGCAGCATTTCAATTCAGTTGCAAGCTACAGAATGAAGTTGATCTGAAAATCGCTGGACTCACAGTGACCATCAAGGTTACTACTGTGTTTGGAACACAGTACAAATGCAAGTTTGGGCCCAAATGCTGAAAAACTAATGAAGTTGTACTTTATAAAACTCTAGAAGTATTTTGTGATGATGTCCAGGAAGGCTGTGATCAGACTGCAGATCAGATCACAAGGTAGCTAAGATAGGTAGCAATAATGTCCAAAGCTATGATCTGAAAAATCCTCAGCAGCTACAAGAAGCCTGAATATCAAACACATTCTCTTTTTGTTCTATTGCATGGCTCTAACATTACATGCTGTACACGTTACAGACCATCCTTAAGCTAAGCCCTACTGGGAGCTAGCAACAGCACAGAACAGTGCTTAAAAGGCTGGGGGGTGGGGGCTGGCTCTGCACTAGCAGCACAGTTAACAGAACAGATACAGCCACTTGCATTCAAAACAGGTGGCAGAGAGATTGTGACATTCTAGGGCCCAGCAGCTGAGCAAGCAAGAAGAGTGGCTGTAGCCTAGTTACGACATTGCACCAAGAGGGAAGAGGCCTGGTTCTCTGTCCTTATTTTAAAGGTTGTCTCCAGTACTCGTCAATTTAGTGTCTGAAAGATAAAATATGTAAAGCCGTGTCTGGAAAAGCAACTCTCTGCTACCTGAATATTTTCACTAACAGACTACAGTGCCACACTTCCTTCACACTGCTATTCACTCTGGCTTTTGAAGCTTGCAAACTCTGTACCACCCTCTGCTCATTACCACCGTTTACAAACTGGAGAGGCTACAGCTGCCCCATCCTGTGCTATCACATTTCCGTTAGGCCACGCACAAAGCTATTAGGCTGAACTGTCCTACCTTGTTCACAGTGGCTTCATGTGCCTACAGCACCACGCCTGAGGTGCCCCTCCCTGGTAAGAAAGATGTGGGTCTAAACCTCTCATGTGGAAGAGGTGCACTTATTCAAGAAGTGAGTGGCCCCCAAATACTGGCTTGTTGTATAAGCGGGCACTACTAGCATTCCTGCTAGCTACCTCTAGAGAGCTCCTTACCCAGCAAGCAGGGATTCTGCGTCTTGTATTCCAGGCATTATATGCAGAGCTAATGTGCCTAATTTGAGGCTTTAGATAATACTACAGAAGTAGGTGCTTAATCCTTCTTTGAATCTGGGCCAAGATGTTCTGTATATCCAGGGACTGAAACAAGATACGAGGCTGGTGAAGATGTTAGTGGATTGGCAGACCTTTAGCAGCAAGAAGTCACAATGCAGATGAATAGGGCTTTCTTGTTGACATAGCCAGAGATCAAACTGTTGGATTTAGACTTAAGATAGGCAATAGCCTTCAATGACAATACTCGAAAGTAAAACCACCACCATATCCCACGACTTAGGCTGTGCAAGTCAGGACTAATTTCACTGATGCTGTCCTGTAAAACTCAGCTGCGTCAGACAAACAACTTCTAAATGACCACTGGGCAGCTATGAGATGTATTTTTGCATTCTATAGAAAGTAGTAGGAAAATATAAGCCCATTGTCACTTTTTTCCAAAAGGCAGCATTGGAAAGAGCAGGTATGTAAAAGAGTAAATTACAGGCTGCTAGTAGGCTAAAACCTACACTAAATTGCACTTAGACACGAAATAACAAGGTATACATTCTACAAAAATATTTTAATAAAGAGCCAGGATCAAAATTTGGCAAAGGTGCAAGTTAACTTTCTCTCCTTACCAGCAGATACCAGGACAACCGCTGTAAACAAACTCATTTCCTCATCACTAAGTTGCAGGGCATTTAGTTTCTCACTAAATTCAAACATTGAGTTGAGCAGATCACCAGCTCCCATTGAATGCAAGTCATCCACACTGTACTTCTTTCCACTCAGGAAGGTGACAGTACGTTCCTTTGCATCAAACAAAGATGCAAATCGTACCATTAAAACCTGGTGAAAGAAAAAAAGAACAAGAAAAACAGATAAATACAGGTGGGTTTCTAGAAAAGCCAAAGAAAAAATTAAACCTTTTAACATCATTCAAACTGTCTCATTAACCGCTGTACAAGCATTCTCTACAGAAACTGTCAGCATGCTATTGAGCTGTAAAAAACAGTGCAAGCTCTGGCCCAGTAGTCTGAGAGAAACAAGTGAAAAAATTAGCGAGTGGATGCAGGGGAGTGGCTATGGCACATAAAAGGGAGGAAAATTAAAATTTAAGCCTCAGCCAGCCGCAGTGACGATGCCATTCATACATATGCCACGAGGACGACTTGCTTAAGCCACCGAACAGCCAAAGGCATACAGAGCATTAAAAGAAATGTTTTCTTGGCCACACTTATGAGGAGCAAAATGAAGGTGCTAAACCAGATTCTTGCTTGGCGTAAACTGGAGCAGCTCCATTAAAACAATGCTGATTTACACCACCTGATGATCTGGCCCACTAGGCATTCTTTGGGAAAGTACCATGCCGCATCACTGTACCCACAGGAATGTTAATGAGCTCTGACAGAAGGGAACCACACGTACGGCCTTCAAAAGGCTAGGGAAGCAGGGCTTGGAGCGGCACCTGGTCTGTAGCTGCAGCTGGGAATACCCCGTTGGTGTAAGCACCTGGGCTGGAGCAGTTGACATGTGCTGAACTTACCCCTCTGGGCTGAAATTTCTCTTGTGGTTTCTCAGTCGCACTGTGAAATGTTTCCCTCTGGAATGGCTTGTAAAGTTTCATTTGCTCATGTTCAACCACTTTAATTACATTTTCAAGGTTTAAGTTGCACAGAACAGCCTTCTTATTTGGAGAAAATGAACCAACTGGCATTAGTTAAAACTTCAGACTTGCTGTAATCTCTTGGTGTGACAGTCGTCTCTTCTCACTTACCCTACATAACTGCATTAATTTAAATGTTTACTACAGATGAGAGAAGAACCAGGTTTTCAGCAAAGCCTAGCGCCTTTGACAAGCTTAAAAAAGGAGGGTTCAAAAAAAAATAAAAATGTCTGAGAATTCAAACACCACTCATGCAGATTACATGGCCTGCCCGTAAATTTTAACAGCCAAATGACATGCAGCAATCTTGATGGACACACGAGCACTATGTATTATTCACCTTTGTTGGCTAAGCTATATGTCCTTTGATGACATTAACTACAGAGTGCAGAAACCTAGGCAGAAACCTAGGTGCAAAGCCCTCAGAATACAACAAAAGGAGACAAAGGGCAGACAGACAAAGCTGAACTTGTGCATTAGCAGGGACCCACCAGGTACTCAACAACCTTTCAGTTCAAAGGAGTATTCCCCCTTACAGAACTGGCCTTCAGAAACATGAACTTTAAATGATAAGAACCAGTATTAACACTAGTATTCAACACCGAAGCCCGTGAAGCTGTGTTGACTTAATACTGAGGCAAAGATCTCACCTACAGATTTCAAAGTCAGCATTCTAACCCAAGGAAGAACAGTTTAGACTATGGTGTAGCACAAGATTGATTCACCCTGTTTACTTCAAGCCAGACTCCTATTTGTGCACGTTGAGGATACACCTTATCAACCCTATCACTCGACCACAGCAATATAAGCACACAGAAACCTCCACACAGGCAAGTGCTCGCTCACTTCCCTACCACCTGCAGCCAAGTTACCAGGTTTGGGAGTCTGTGGAGAAACTGAGTCACTACCCCAGTGGATCCAAGGGGCTTGTTAGCACTACCATCACCTACATTTGGAATGGAGGCTTGTGGAGGTGGGGGAGGACCCGCTCAAATCCACTGGAGTTCCTTATTTTATGCTCACTACAGTTTCTGAGCTGGCTCCCATACAAAGGCATGCAAATACCACCACAATATACTGAGCTCCCCAGTACTGCCAGTTCTAAGTGGACCTTTTAGCTTAGATGTTTGTGAATATATATACATCTATGCTGCTTCTGTACTAACAGTGTCTCCATGCATCTTCTCACCTCCGAACAAACAAGTACTCCTTGAATACAAGCTGCTGGTAAGCACAGTGCCAAGACAGCCACACACTGGTACCCAAGGGAGCCAAAACAGGCTTGGAGGCATTACTTTTACTCAGGTTCTTCTATTAACATACAGATGTTGAGATATCCTAGTTTAGTTACCCAGCAGACAGAAATGACCTTGCATGCATCAGGCTTTCAAGATGTTTTTGTCTCTATTGCAAAGGTTTCATTAATCCTGTTTTTGTTGTTTTGGTTGGTTGGGTTTTTTTCCACTGCACTGCAGCATTATTTTTTGTGGGATTTTTTTCTGTTGCTAAGATGCCACATGGGCCTTTAACTACAGGTACCAGCTCACTAATAGAAATCATTAATGTTTCTTATAAATAGGATAAGCATTCAGCCATACATTATTATTAATTCCTCTGGATATAGAAACCTTCTTACCAGCAGTGTTTGTAACCAGCAAAAAGGGATACGAATGAGGCTTGAGAAAAGCCTGAAGTGAAGAAAGTCCAAGACAAAACGTTTTACTTGCAAAACATGAAGTTTTGGCTTTACATTATAAGAACAGTTCAAGCCTCATTTTCCACCCTCCTCGAGGGCACTGGACAGTAGACCACTTTGCAGAGGAAGGAACCAACATTTTTGTGTGATGTGAACAGCAACGTAAGAGGCTGTAGCTGAAGAAGTGAAAATACAGCCCTTAGCTACAGGAGTTGTAGATGAGTATTGAAAGATCAAGTATAATGGCAAAAAATACATGACAGCAGAATGGAAGAAACTCAGGCACCAAGTCTTCCAGTATAATTTGAACCTTCCAACCCAACAACTATCCATTTTAGAACCAGGTTGTATAAATACAGACAAAAGACCCAACCCATTACATGAAAAACGTCTTCAGTTCAGGTAAATATGAAATCCAACATCCCTCTTTGAAAGAATAAATCAAGTAAACAAGAGCAAAAGCAACACCAACACTGCCCTCCCCAGAAAAGCACAGTAACACTGAATACCTGGGACTTCAGCTCCTCTGGCCCTCTATGTTTAAACTTCACATCTGAATACTTATAAAATATGTGCATGTTCTCCAATAGACACAAGAGTCTGGAAAAGCAACTAAAGCCTTAAGTGAAGGTCCCCTGCTGAAGGTCACTATTAAAACAGCAGCAAGCTCTCTGGCATCATGCCCAATTTAATTCACATATGTGTCATGCTCACAAATGGGTGAAATTAACCACAAGGACCTGGTGGGGTTAGTCTGGAGTAAGTCAGGGTGCAGCTGGTACATGGTATCTACGGAGCTGCAGCAGTACACCTCGTTATCAGTGTTACTGCTTTGGAGGTGGAGGCTTCAGCAACCCCCAGCTGCCACCAAAGGCTGGTGGTGACTGGTCAGGATGGATGCTCTGGCTTTGGCAGGGAGCACAGTGGCAGATGGAAGGATATAAAGAATGACAAACACATTCCTCTACAAAACTTGTAAGGCAACAGATAGCTTTCTAAACCATCCACCCTTCCAGGTGCAGTCTACTCCTCTCCACTCTAAGCAAAGGCAGCTAACAAAGTAAGCGCTGCTATACAAAACCAAGAAACTCCTCATTAGTTATTTATTAATGTCCAAGGAAGATGAAAAGGTAAATGGGCAGAGCACTCTTGAGCTACTTGGAAGAGGGACAGCTCACCAAGATTTGACCAAACAGAAGCACTGGACACCACGAGTTTAAGGACAGCTCAGAGCTAGCATCCACAAACAAGCTGGTTTTGCCCGATATAACCCAGTTCTATTTATTTTTGCTCTTAAGGGGGTCAGACTGATGCACAGCTTGTCAGGTACACACTAGACACACAGTGGTCTCACCTCAAAGGTCCCAGCCTTCAGAAGATTAACCTGGTCATGTTGGGAGAGATCTCGGAAACCTGGGATGCGCTTGGCAAACTCCACCACTTCCTTCACTGCAGGGGTAAAACTCAGGGAAAACTCTTCCCAGACTTCATGGCCAGACTTGTTTGGGTCCACATGTGGAGTCTTACTCATTGGGCAGACCTGATGTTTACAAAACATACACAGAAAACAACTCTTAAAGATCTAATTCCAGATACTGACAAACACTTGAAAGAAACAGGTTTATTCTTCAAGAATATTTTGGAATAATGACGCATGGAGAAAAAAAGTATCACTATTCATCAAGTCAATTCCCAAAGCAACTGGATTTCTCCTCTTCCCTGTGAAACAAACAATTAAAAACCCCATGGCAGTCCATTAGCAACCTGTTTCTGAATTTGCTGACCTTGGAAATGCCAACACTGTTTATAGCAAAAAAGATTTGAGAGAACCCAGGTTCTGCTATTCTTCCCTGATGTCACTCATGCCTGATATCTGCATTTCTCTTACTTGTATTATCCCTGTAATCTCACAATTAATCACAATTTCACAATCAATAAACTGTAATCTCACAGTCACTGCCACATTCATTCTCACACATCTTTCTTGTTTTGCAGGCAACTAAAAGTGATTCAGTTGAGGTGACCAAGGTGTCACCAGCAGAGCAAGGAACCCAGCCTTGGTTTCCCAAGTCACAGGTTTACACCCTCATTACCAGAACCGCCTTCCTCTTCTATACGTTTGCTTTTATTTATATCACTGAAGGAGGACTAAGGAACTGGTATTCCAATTTTGCTCAGTCACAAGACAACAAAATGCTTTCTTTTATACAAACATAGTGGGTTTTTTGTAAAAAACTCTGAATCCATTACAATGAGATCAGAGGTACCAGTCAAGGCTGACTGCCAATAAACTCCCTCTGTAAAACCCAACCAGATGCTCTGAGATATTTTCAGTTCTGCTTTCTAAAATTTACATCATTTAATGAAGTTTAAACCTTTTAATATTCATTTCACCTGTCATCATCAAGGATGAGAATTCCTTTAAGTATTCCTCACAAGTATACTAAATGGTGTACGTTATCCTACATAATTCCAGCAAAGCAAATAGAAACAGTGAAATAGATTAGTAATTCCTCAGAGCATTGCTGCTTCTGCAGGGCATCTGGAATCTCATAATTGCCTAGCAATTCTTTGGGTGGAAGGTCCTAAGATCCATAACTAAGATCCATTACAAGAATATATTCAACAGGTATTACACACACATGTGTGTGTGTGCACGTGTGTATGTATTTGACAACAGCTAGGGAGACCAAGATGGAGATCAATTGATATACATTTCTGGTTCTGGTTTTTGGTTTGTTGTGGTTTTTGTTTGTTTGGTTGGTTAGTTTTTTTTCTCCTTTTTCCCCCCAAATATCACTTACTAACTGGGTGGTCAATATGGAGAAAGCTGTCCCCAAAAGACAACAGAATTGCAGATTTCTTGATTCAGCTGTGAATCACAACATCATTTGTGTGTCTGAAGACAACGCCTAAAACCAAATGATCACTTGCGGGATAGACTGAGACCTTCTCCATAAACTGAAAATCATTAAATATTTTGGGAAAAGGAAATATCTAGGCACACAAGCAGAAGCATAGCAAACACTAACCACTGCTTTGTCCATGACACTGCAGCAGTTCACACAGGTACTGTTAAAAACACAGTACTCTCTGAAAATAATCTCTAGTTCAGCACCCTGCTCTGAATTGGACACAAAAAGCACCTCAACTTCTCATCCTACAACACTTTACCCTAACCCCCAGGCGCTCAGTTCCAAGGGAAAACTGCCACTTTCACCCACTGTGTATTACATCTAAGCTCTCTTGAGAGACCTCTGCCCAAGAGTAACAGAATCATAGAGTATCTCAAGTTGGAAGGGACCCATAAAGATCAAGTCCAACTCCCTGCTCCTTGCAGGACTACCTAAATCTAAACCATATGACTAAGAGCATCACTCAGACACTCCTTGGATTCTGACAGGCTTCCTAGGAAAGCAGTTGTCAGCTTCTGCAGTCACCAGCTCTCTTTAGAGGAACCTCTTCAGGAACAACCTGTTCTGCTTTTCTGGTTGTGGGGGTATTGAGTGAAAAAAACAAACCCCTGAACCAGTCTCTGTACTGGTTTAGAGTCTAATTACACTCCCTTACTGCTCCTGACTCATTTTGGTCAGATCCTGCTCTTACTGAATTCTCCAGCAAAGCCCTCATTCATCTCAGGGATATGGGGAGGGGGGAGGCCTGCAGCGCTCTGCTGGATTCGGTTCTGTTTCCTCATCCTTGGCTGTGCTCAACCTCCCTGCTGCTGCTGTGCACGGGTCAAACTGACTGGTTGGGCCTCTGCAGGCAGCACCACTCCCTGCCTGCCCATACTGACGGGTTTAACCTCCACCTCTCGGGAGTGCCAAGAATGACGTCGTAGTGACTCCACATACTTTCCCTGCAAGGAAGAAAAGTTGAGAATGACTATTATTTGCCACGTTGCAGTGTCCAGAGTCTGCAATTAAGGTCAGAGCTTGATAGGGATGGTATGGCCCACATAAGCACTGGCCGAAGAAGAAAAACAAACAAACAAAAAACCTCAAAAAAGGAAATCCAGCATCAAAACAAACAGCCTTCACTGTGCAGACTTTCAGGGGCCTTCAAGAACCTGTGAAGAATCTTTACAAATTAGGAGGAAGAAAAACACTGGCAGCTCGAGTACTTCAGAAAGGTCAGGGGCTCGCACTTCTCAAAAGGAACGCAGGATGCGAACGAGGATGTAATGTTCTCTCATCCCAGGCAATTCCAGTGATAAAGAGCAGGGCAATCTATTTTAAGGGGCTTATAGAACCGGTTGCCGGAATGGCAGAGAAACAGCAGGTGCAGGTGCAAGGCAAACAAGAGGGACCTGTTAAGGAAAGGAAGAAAAAAACAAACCACAAAACAAAACAAAAACCAAAACAAACACCCCAAAAAACTCATATGCAAGAACACAGGAAACATCCTTGTTAAGAATTCAGTGGGAAAATGCTCTAGCGAAGTCATCAAGAAATGTGTTCAGAGCCTCACTTGTGCAAGTCCTACAGAAAAGACCCCGATCTTCTCTCAAGCAGTTGAGCCGTGCATCTTCCTCCTGTCTCTGTTCAGATCTGAAGATGTTCTAGGGGAAAAGGATGCATAGCCTCCGGGTCCCACTGAACCTGTATTTTACACTGCCTGTATCAGAATCAGCCTATCCCCACTAAAACAAAACACCATCTCATCCTGTCCCATTCCCTTCCCCCCTCCCCCCCCCCCAAAAAAAAAAAAAAACACAGCAAACAGCCTACCCAGCAAGAGAGATTTTAGAACATAGAAGCAAGGCGTGCAGACTGGTTCAAAATCCTAGCCCTGAGGTTTCACCCCATAAAATTTACTCTGAATACCTTTAAGGAAAATACATTATATCTGCCTGTGTTGATTATTTTCAAGTGAAGGTTTCAAGAGGATCGAGTGTAGAAGGGAACTTACAAACTCCTAACATCTATTTTCATTTTTGTTAAGCCAGTGAAAAACCCCATGATTTTTCTTCAACCAACGCTCTTTGACACTGGTCTACTTTCAGTTTGCTAAAAGCCAAGCCAAGAAACCACATCACTTATGATTTCAAATCCTCTGCACAACTTAAGCCATTACTCTCCTTCATCACAATTTGTGCTATCAAACCTGTGTCACTATGCTACGTGTCAGCAGTTGTGCCAACTGTGTGAAGCTGGATCACACCCATCACTAAGTCAAATCAAACAATTGATATCAATATACCAGATGCATTCTTCCTCCAGTGCTGCAAGAGTAAGTGGCATTCTTGTTTGGAGAAAAGCCATCTTCTGGGATCCTATCACACAGTCGCTGGGTATAACCACTGGCGAAGTTCATACAGTGGCTGTTTGTGAAACACATGGTGTGCCCACTTGGATAGTGCATTGCGCTTCTCCCTTTGTACTGTCCGCCAAGGTGCTGCTCGCTTTCAGGGTACTGAGGGCCACCAAGCCCACTAACACAGCGCTCGCTGCTCAAGATGTACTGCTCCGTGTTCTTCGACACTCTCTCCCCACTCTGGGGCTGCATCATCTCTGCTGGGTTTTGGGACTGTTCTTGGTTGTACATGAACGTGTCTTTGTGGGCCCTAGTGACCATACCAATCACTTCTTCCTTAGCCATGTCAGCGCTAGGAGGGGAAGAAGGGCTTTTGATGGTTTCCCGCTCTTGTTTGGGCTTGGAGGAAAGGTCGTCTTGAGGTGCTTGATCCTGATGTTCTGTTAACGCTTCATTGGGTAAGTGACCACTGAACTGACTGTTCATCATGGTTTTCATGGCACTCTGCATTTCAATCAGCATCCTCTGTTTTTCACGTTTAGGAATGCGGCCAAATCGAACAGCTACCAAGGTGGAGAAATGAAAAGCGGGGAAAAAAAAAAAAAAAAAAGTCAATCATGAAAGTGTTAACAGCAGACACAGGCATCAAACTGAAGCAAAAACCAGCACGCAGGCACACAAAACACACTCCCCAAAAAATAATCTAGCCTTTTAAGGGAAGATTTTAACTACTCTCACCAATACTACAGCAGGGGTACTACCACAGAAGTCAAAGAGCTTCCTGGGCATAGGACAGGCAAGAGAGATGAATTATGTGCTGCTATTTACAAACAAAGAGAAGGCAGCTCTGAAGCACACAATCTCTAAAGCCTCTTCCCCTTCTGCTACAAACCTGGCTATGGACTATACACACAGTTGTGCGTGTTAATTAAGTATCAGGCTTTAAGAGTGGATCAATTAAATCAGTACAACTTTGTTGCCAATTAGATGAATTTAAACACAGTTCATATCATACTTGAATATAAGCTCTACAAGACAGCTCCTCATGGACCAATTATACAACTTGCCAAAACAATTAAGAGAATCAAAGCTGAATGAAGCTTACCTTGGCAAAATTTTCCTGATAACTCTGCCTCGACAAGGACACTTTCTGCTGGCAAGGGGATGGGCATCATTGTGGCTGCAGCCCTTTTGACCCTGTCCTAGGGAATTTACAACTGCCTCTACCACCCTGTCCAACCACAGCCTTACAAGGGCCTATAACCAGTTTCGACTGATGTAATTATGTTCACGCAGTAGTCCATCATTAATGTAACTAAATCTCTTTCATTAAAGCAGGTGCAACCTTATGCGCAAACAAGCGCCTAGGGGATGAAATAACTCCTATGCACAACAAGAACTCAGAACAATTATTTAAAATAAGTTTTAACACTCCACCCATTAAATTATTAACAGCCAAGATTCCTAGCTCTTGCGAAATAAACACGCAGAGAAAATTAAAAAGTGAAACAGAAGGAAGAGTTCTGGTTCATGACAGTAAGTTGCAGCAGACTAATGAACTACACTTTCAGCATTACATTTTGAAAAACATCAGAAGTGGATAACCAGCAAGATGGTCAGAGACACAGCTCAACAGTACCCTTTCCTCCTTGCTTTCCCCTTCGCTCCAAGAAAAGAAAAGAAAGGGAGGAAAAAAAAAAAAAAAAAAAAAAGGAGCAGATACATATGCTTGCTCCATGCATCCAAACCTGACTATTTAGGCTCTAAAATGCTTACTCTAAGGCTATCAGCTTGGGCAGAACTCCCTTTCATTGAAAAAGCAACAGTAACAAAACAAACAGGTGAAGAAAAAAAAAAAAAAAGAGAGAAAAGTCTTGTTCAGATTCAGGCAGGATACAGCTATAAATATTAACTCATTAAAACAAAATTGAAACTCTTTGTTACAGCGATCCCCCTAACAGACCAATGCATCAGCCCCCAGAGGAGAGAGGGCAGCTCTGCGGTCAGTATTACATTACCAGTTCAGGAGAGTCACAGAGCAAGAAGGCAAGCTGATCTAAATGCTCTCAAGCAGGGAACCTGTCCCTGACAACACGGCTGCCTACATTTTCTGCCATTAAGACCATTAGCAATTGGTTTGGAGGTGGGCAGCAGATTCCCACTTAGAGGATCACTGCTCGGCAGAGGAACGTACCATCTCTTGACATCCCAACAGACAGGCATTTTTTGAAACGACACTGCTGGCACCTGTTCCTATTCATTCTCATTATAGAGCAGTTGTTATTCTTCAAGCACTTCTTATACTGAATGTTTTGCTGAATGCTTCTTCTGAAAAAACCCTGTAAGAAAACAAAAAAAAAGACCCCCACAAGTATTATTACAGCACGTCAAAGATTCACCTCTCCACAAGCACAGAAAACCTCACTGCATTTCATGAGCTGCTTCAGAGCCATCAGCTACAAGTGATTTTAAAGAACTTGCCACTCCTCATGACTAACTTCCCCTTCGTGTGTGATCTGCATGTAACTCAAACTAGTTACGATTTCTAACTACAGAAGATGCTAAGTTGTTCCCTGCATAGTCAGCACCTAAGAGCAAAATATCTCCAGTATTACCTCTGTCACTGTACTGACAGTTTATCATAGGAGATTGAGGGCATATCACATCAAGTGCAAAGATGAAAGTCAAAATCAGATCTTTTGACTTCAATATCCATAGTTCAGTAACAAAACCATCCTGTTGCACCATATGACCTTCAAAGGTGGTTCTGTCACATAACCCTGAAGTTGATAAACTCCCTCACAGAACATAAAATTTGCAGTGTTGAAATATCAGAAAATACAGATCTACTGATGCATGAACGTGCAAGCACCCAGTTCTGGCTTTCCCCATGGTAAAGAATTGCCTTTCCAAAGCTGTTTTGTTCTGTGTCCCAGCCCAGGCGACAACTCACACCTATCTCGTAATACAATTAACATTCACATGTCTTGCATGGTATGGTCCTCACCACCTCTGTCTCCAGTTCTTGTTCTCTGCCATGCAATCCAGGGTCAGGTCGGATTGGACAAGGGGCAAGAACAGAAAGGACTGCAGAGTTTGGAAAATGCTGTGTATTGCTAAGTGGTTTGCCTTTTCCTACAAGTTATACACTGTTTGAAATTTCTCAGATTTAACAGATATTTTTTTAGAAGTACCACACCTTTTCCCCTATGGGGAGAACTTGAGTATTTCACCAGCAGAAAGATAAGCAGAAACATAGCTCACCTTGCAGCCCTCACACGCATGAACACCATAATGAAATCCTGAAGCAACATCTCCACAGACTTTGCAAAGAAGAACCATGCCATTAAATTCTAGAATCAGAACAGAGAAGTCAAGGATATAGAAAACCAATGACAACTGCAGGAGCGCGTTTCCAGCTTTCAAAACCTGGACTAAAAGCAAAATGTGTCAGGTCATTTCAACATGCAAAAAAAAAAAAAATTCAGCAGAGGAACAGACAACAAAAATGTACAAAACCCCTGAACAGTTCAGAAGGTACCAGTGCAGGGGAGGGGGGAAGACAGACAAACATGAAGCACTCAATAGAACAGGGAGAAAGCACGCATTCACTGGACTTTCAATCACAGTAGCATTGTACTCAACTGTAGAAAAAGAAAGTCTGCTTACATTTACACACATTTAAAAGGCCCTTTTAGTTAACTAGGCCACCAAAGTTCAGGTTCAGTGTGTTTTTCCATCAGGACAAGTAAGCCCATACAAAGGCTACAGTTTTCCCAACAAACATATTTTCTTAAAAACATAAATATTAAAGGACACTTTATTTTATTATATATTGTAAACAAGCCATACACTCTTACCTATTTGATAACAGTTTAGGACTGGTAACTCAGTCACATCTACTGTACACAGTAAAGACTACTTTACATAGTAAAGACTACTCATTTGAGTGCATATCCAGCTAGGGCATGCTTGCACCCTTGAACTCAAAAATATCTTCTCAGCCCTGTAAATATGCTCATGGTTTGGTTTTTTTTAATTTTTTTCCCCATCTATTTTGCTTCAGCTTGTCAATAAAGATTTTTCTGTAAGTCCTAAGTGCCAGTCTAACATAGGTTTCACTGAAGCCAATGGGAATTTTAACAGTGACTTCAGTAACCACAAAGTTACCTTAACAGTGAGCAACAGAGACAGCTGGAAATACTTCCACAGAATCATAATCTACCAGAGAAGTAATTTATTTGACATTTGGGTTTCATTTGTAAAGAGGAACTGAAATTTTTTTTAAGGTTTTGAAAAAGAACCAAACCACAAAATTTCCTTTTTTTTTTTTTTTTTTTTTTTTTTTTTTTAAACATTTTTCAGCTCAATACTAGCTCTGTTTATCTATCTATCTGTACATCTGAACAGTTTACAACAGGTTTCATCTTCAGGAACCTCTGTCCTGATACAAAAAAAAAACCCTAGTTGCTAGGAAATTTTTAAGAGGAAACAAAGGTTCTTACTAAGAACTCAGGGTAGGAACACTTTTTAAGGAAAAAAAAAATAAAACAAAAACTTTTAAGGTAGAACTGTTAGGATACTTATTCTAGCTTCGTAACAACTCCAAATGATAAAGTAATTCTGCCAACAAAATAATTCAGTCATCAAAAGACTGGTCTAAATTCTAGCTGAGTGTTTGCTGAAACACTCATTCCAGTACTCAGTTTGATTCCTGCTCTTCCAAAATTGTTCTAATAGTTCTTTATTGTTGATCTTCTCTGATTAGCAAAAAAAAAGCGTGAAGCAAACAGTGGGAGCTAGATTGTTAAACGCATTTTAAAAGACTTTCATTCCAGCTTATGAGTACTTTGGGTTTTACATCCACAAATTAAGACTTGGAATCAAAAAGATAAAGGTTCCAGCAACACCTATGTATATATATATATATATACTGTTTCGGTAATTTATTTTGTTCCTTGAAGAAATTCGAGGGGAGGGAAGCTGAATGGGCAGAGGAGGCAGTATGAAAACACAGAGAAACCTGATTTGCAAAACAGGTCCATAAATACTCCTGAAGGCAATTTCTGATTACTGTTACCTTTACTTCATTGCATCTTTTTAACCAAGTGTTCAATTTTTATTAAAATCAGTTTTCACTAGTGAAAATCTGAAGCAAAGCCGGACTGTATTTATGGACTGTCTGCAGTCAGCCGCAGTGGGACCTCCATCTATTAGCATTTGTATGGCAACACCATAGGTATTACCCTACATATAATGCAAAAAGATAAAAATGGAGGCTTTGCTATGTGCCTTCACAGCAAGCCACACGGAGGACCTGGCTGCAATAGATCAGGGGAAAATGGTGTTTTCAGGAACTGGCACCAAACATACTTGTGACTCCATTATGGCCTTTTGTCAAACCAGCAACACTCGACTGGTTTGTTTTAATAGTCTCCTCCAGCCGATCGCTCTTCGGTGCCCCATCAGAGCCCTCGCTGCTCCGGCCGTTGCAGCTGCTTTCCGAGGAGGAGCTGTTCGGAGAAGATGGTACAGGTGAAGAGGATGACTGGAAACCGCTGTCTGAGCTCTCGCTGTGACATGAGGCTGGGCTAGATGCTGAGCTTGAAGAGCTGATGTAAGCTATCACACCCCCTAAGGCAAGAGGGAAAAAAAAAAAAAAAAAAAAAGGCGGCACGTAGTGACATAACAAGCAGACATGCACCGCTGCCATGTGAGCCACGCCATGACCCAGCACCACCAGACCCAGCCATCACGTGTGCCTGGGTGCACTCCTTTCCCTCCCTCCCTCCAGCTTGCTTCTCTCCATTCCTTCCCAACAGCTGACCTCCCAGTCGGACCCTGTCCCCTGCGCCTGTCTCGTCGGCCGCCTCCGATCCAACAGGAGATGAAATGGCAGAACCGAATGACAGAGCCAGAAGCCACCGTGCCAGCAGGACGGGGCAGCGGGGAGAGAGCACAGGGCGGCCCAGGGAGGGTTTACCTGGCCACCCTCCCAGCAGAGCTCGCCTGGAGCCGCAGCGAAGCCAGGATCTTACAGCTCTGTGGAGCCAGAATGCAAACAAGCTGGGTTAGGGACAGAAATAGGGCAGAGAGAAAGACTTTATGCAGGCTACGCGCCAGAGACACAGAAAGGAAGGGCTGAGAGGTGCTCACGATGCAGAAGGGAAGGTGGCAAGGGAGAGAAATAGCACTTCAGCCTAGTTAGAATACTGAAAGTCATTTGTCCAACTGCAAGCCATTGTAGTGTCTCTAGCAGCAGCTGAACTCTGACTGCCAGGCTGCTATTTGCAAACAGTCTCTGTCCTGCTGCATCTTGCAATCTGACACACTTGCGAATCCCTCAGATGAAACAGCTTTTTGTCCTCAGGCAGACCTGGGAGCAGTTCTAGCTTTTCACAGGCTCCTTTTTCTTGCTTGTAAGCAAGAGAAATTGTTTTCACTTCATTAGGGTTTGTCTCCAAGACTCAGCATTTCAGAAGTCAATATAAAAACATGTGATATTTCACACAAAAATTTCAACAGTGAAAGCCACGCAACTGCTTAAAAAAATTACACTCAGCATCTTCTCTGGTTTATGCCTGCATTGTTCTGTAAAGTCTCTTCACAGACCACTCAGGACATTGCAGCAAGGAACTCCACGCACCAGTAAGAATTAAAAACTTTAAAGTGGCTGCGCGCTGGCTTCCTTTGGGGGGAAGTTTGAGTTAGTGTTTAGTTAGTTAGTGGGAACTTAGTGTCAGTTTGAGTCCTTGATGAACTGTGTTGGCATGGCAGGTCGGGGCTGTAGCCCCTTACATCAGCCATCGCCTCCTCACAGATAAAGGCTGTTATGCCCATTAGACAGCAGTGTTACACAACCCTGGAAGTAATCACTGCTTGCAGGTAGAAACTCAGCCTTACAAATTGTCATTACTTTGATCAGCTAGAAGAGTCCTCTTCGCATTTCTATGGCAGCTTTACTGGCCCATTTCCTCTCTGACGTTTAATTTTTTTTTTTTCTACCAAGGAAACCGCCACCAACACCCTCACGAGTGCGCAGCCGAGGAGCAAGCCACTGGCAGAGCCACCGCAGCGCAGATGCCGGACCCAGTGGTTGTGCAACACGTGCGCTACCCACAGGCTGCTGCTCACGTTCCCGGACACCGGTGCCCCTACACCCCACCACAGATGCCATTCCCACGCAGATTTTATTATTATTATTATTACTATTATTAGGGGTTTTTTTTTTTAAGAAATCCTCCATGCAGCGCAGCACGCATCCAGGATCAGGTTTTTGGAGGAGGGTTGGCAAGGGGGACACGGATCCCACAGCAGCACGAGATTAAAAGACACCATCCGACACCTGTGCTACTGTAAGACAGCACCAATTTGACAAAGGTCCTGCTGTCCCCCAGCACTGCACGTGCCTCTGCCAGGTGCCAGGTCAAAGCTCGCAGGCCACCCGGTCCAAGGGAGGCACTGAGTCTCTCGGCAGGAGCCACGCTTATCTGCAAGGGGCAGAGCAGGGCACGTAAACACGGCCCCTGCAGGGAACTCCACGTTTCTCCATGCTGCCACCTCACGCCACTATCTTTCAGAGATGCTCTTTTCCCTCAAGGGTAACGCCAATGTCGTAAGGGAGCACGGAGAGGGTATATCCATGGGGGTTTTCACTCCTTGTCTTCTAAAAGCCTGAGGAGCCCCAGATAGCTAGCTGGGCTGCTCCTGTGCCACAGAGAGCCCAGCACTCCCATCTGTGTCCCAACCCAGATTCCTAATCCTGTTGCTGTTTTAGAAGCTCCGCTTCCCCATGAGCCCTGGTTTTGTCCCATCAGCAGATAAAAGTTGGGTCTCGTAACGCAGCACAGGGCGACAGCTCCAAAGAGCACCGGCACAGCCATCCCTGTGGGCACACACCGGCACCCCGACAGGGACCCCGGGGTGCTCGGGGGGACAGGCGGCCCCGGGGCTACCAACCGGCGGGGCTCTGACGGCTAAGAGAGGCGCTTCTGGCGTCATGCAGAGCCACGGGGACCTACCTGGCAGGGAACTGCTTAAGAGCGGAGGGGGGGGGGGCACCGTAAGGCGCAGGCATTCCGTTTACGCAGAGGTTTGGGAAGTTGCAGTGACGCAGAGGCTCGAAGGAGGCTTCGCGTTATTAACTGGTTGCCCCCCCAACCCCCAAAGCGGGCGCTGCTGCAGCGGGGGCTGCCCCGGCAGGCACCCCCGTTAGCCCAGGCGGGCAGCGGGGTCCCGCCCGGCCCGGCCCGGCCGCCCCTTCCCCGTTACACAACGCCACCGCCCCCGCGCACCGGGCCGCTCCACGTGCGGGCCCCGCGCCCCCGCCGCAGCGCGTGTGCCCGTCAGTGTGTCCGTCCCGTCCCCTCCCGCCCCCCCCCCCGCCGCCTCCGCGCCAGCGGCACAACGGCCTCCCCCCCCCCCCCCCCCCCCCCCCGCGGCCTCAGCGCAGCGGGGGCGGAGCCAGGCGCCGCGGGGGCGGGGCCGCCGGCGCCGCAGCGGCGCTGCCCCCCCCCGCCCCACGTGTCCCCGCCGCCGCCGCCCCGAATGTAGGTCACCAAAACAGCGCGCGGCCCGCCCGCCTCACGTGTCCGCGCCGCCCGCCGCCCCGCGCCACCGCCCCGGCACTATTATGCAATCCGCGCGTCACCGCCCCGCACGGCCAATGAGCGGGCACGCCGCGCGGAACGTAAACACAGGGCGCACATGGCTCGCCCGGCGGGTCCATGTGAGGGCAGCGCGCGGCCGCCCCGGCCTCCAGCGGGGCCTGGCCGCGCCGCGCTGCCCCCCAACCCCCCCCCCGCCACCCCCCCTTTCGCCCCGCACCCGCCGCGCCGATCCCGCAAGCGCCCGCGGGGGCGCGTCCCCACCGCCGCTTACCCGCGCTGACTTCCATGGCGGCCTCCGCCCGCAGGGGCAGGGGCGGCGCCGCGCTGGGCTCCGCCGGGCTCGGCACGGCTGGGCTGGGCTGGGCTCCGCTCCGCTCGGTCGCTGCCTCCCCAGCTCCGTCCTCCCGCCGCAAGCCCCTACATACGGGCGGCTGTGCCCGTCGCCTGTCAGCGCGGCGGCGGCGGCAGCTGCCCGTCCCCGCCGCCCTCCCCTCCACAACAAAAGCGATCGGGAGCCGCGCAGAGTTGCGGCACCACCGCCCGCCCCGCCCCGCCCCGCCCCGCCCCGCCCCGGCGGCCCCGCCCCCGCCCGCCCCCCTCACCCAGTGACACACTTTCCGCGCCGCCCGGGCCCGCGGGCGGGAGCGCTCACGTGCGGCGGGCGCGTGCGGCCGCGCAGCCTCTGCGGGTTGGCAACCAGGTGCGCGCGGAGTGTCCGTGCGTCCGTCCCCCGTGTGCCCCGACCCTTTGCCGGGCGGCTGCGGGGGGACTCCCCCCACACCCCTCCAACACACACACGCACGCCGGGGCCCGGGCCGCGGCTGCAAGCGCGAGTAACGCGGCTGCAAGCGCGAGTAACGCGCCCGCGGCGCCGCGGGGCACGGTGACGGGCGCCGGTGTCAGCATCCGCCCGCCGGGCATCGGCAGGAAATGCCACCGCTCTGACTGCCGCGGCTAATTAGCTCTCTCCTCTCCCCACCGCAACGTCTCACCCATCCCAGCGAGGGGGTGCCCCCCCCCCCCCACCTCCCCCCGATCAGCCGCTTCGTCGCTCGTTGCAGGGGAAAAGGAAAAACCGGGAGAGACCTCTTCGCGCCCGCACACGCACCGCTTCTGCCTAAATAACCGCCGTTGAGCCTCCGGGCACGGCCTGCCCCCCCCCCGCCACCCCCAGGGGGGGAGGGATGCGCCCCAGAGGCCCCGCTGAGCCTGACTGGTAACGCTGAGATGTCCCCGCCGGGGGGTCGGGGGGATGCACAGCCTCCCCCATCTCCTGCTCGAAGAAAGAAACCAAAAGTTTGTTGTTTTGTTTTGGTTTTTTTTTTTTTTTTGCAGAAAACCCACCACAGCAACAAAAAAATGGGGGGTGGCAGGGGCTCCATGAAGTGAACACGCAGCCCAAAATGAAGCTCAGTCCCTCCTCGGGCCCCAGCAGGCAGAGGAAGATACCTCACGGTGTGTGCTGACCTCCGGACTGGGAAGGAGGCGGTGGGGTTAAATGAGGTTAACTAAGTGGAGGCTAAGCGCAGCTAAATGTAGTTTACCGCCTCCTAATTTGGGCGAGTTTCCTCTCTTCTAGAATGAAGTAAACAGGTCAGTTTGGGTGAGTTTCCTCACTTCTCGAAAAAGGTAAATGGGTGAGTTTTCCTGTTTTTCCGTCCGTGGCCAAGCAGCCGGGAGGCACCTAGCTTTCCTCTCGGTCCACACACAACAGCCACCGCCATCTCCAGTCCCTCCATCCCCCAGCTCCGATTTCTTACAGCACTGTCTCCCTGCTCTGCCTGGCTTCTGGTCTTTGTGGGCCGAGCACAAATTTGATGTGTTTGAGATTAGCCTATCCTGCCATGTCAAACCTCCCCGCAGCTGAAATTGGCCAACAAACTCAAAGGAGAAGATAGTGTATAAATCAAATTCTCTTAGGAAACCAAGTTGAACTTCAGGAACAACAGCAGAGCAAGTCCTCCTTGTTAATGCATTCTGTGTCTCTGGTTTTGTTTGGTTTTTTTTGTTTGTTCGTTTGTTTGTTTTTTGTTATTTTTGGATTTTAGCAAGGTAGATGCTTGTGTAATATTTACTAACCAGTAGGTTAGCAACCCTAGATGTTCACTAAGGCTGCTAAAAGAAAAGCTACAGAACTTGAGCTCTTTCTGTTGGACAAGGCAGGAGACTTCAATTTGCAGGTGGTGGTGGAAGCACTCTGAGTATGCCAGCATTGGCACTCAGACCAAAGGTCCACCTGGTCTGCAGGCAGTCTGTGGGGCTCAAGGGAGGCTCCAGATTTTTCGGGTCCGTGGATTCCATTTTGAGAGTGGCCAATAAGGGGAAGGACTGCTCCTCCACTTCCTTTGTGGGCAAGGACAAATGCTGCTGCTCTGGCCTGGCAGGACAAATGGGAAAGGCAACATACACAGCTTTGTAGGATGCCGTAGGGAGAGGCCATCACACTATTGCTCCCAATCTCAATCTCTCCTATTTACTGCCAGGACAGGATTTTGACCCTCCCAGAGGGATTCCAGCCTCTCGTATCATCTACCATCTGCTTTTGAGACTCTCAGGGATCATTATAGCAGTTTCAGTCAACTCTTGCCTCTCGTGCTGCACTTTGCAGCCCTGGAGCCACCCCCAGCCCATCTTCAAGAATGCTTTTATTTTGCTTCTCTCTCATATCTCCTTCCTTAATGACTTTGGGCTGCTCCCTGTGCTCCCGTACCGCATCCTCTCTGGTTCCTTCCCTGAGGTGGCTCCCCACACACACATGGGTTGGAAGAGCCAAGCACTCCTCTTGGGGCTGGGTATGGCAAAAGCAAGACATGGGCCCACCACGCAGCTTTCCGCTCAGGACCCTTGTCCACGACATCAGAGGAAGCCAAAAAGTGTGTTTCCTGAGGAGGTCCAGCAGGCAGAGCTGGCTGTGGGCAGCCGTGGGTGGTGCAGTCCTGGAGTTCTAATGGAGATGGTCTCAGAAATGGCCCTGCCCACTCCTATGCTACAGGTCTGCTGCTCAGCACAAAGGTATGGACTGCCACAGTCCATGAGAGGTGCTTCAGCAACTGGAGGAGAAAACTGTCCTAGAGAGCACCGAGGTTTTTATGCTGCCCTATAACCTGGGGGAAGACAATGCTCTGCCAACGGGTTGCAATACAGGAGCCAAATTTTTCTTGGAGCCTCTTTCCTCCTACCTCTTCCAAACCCACACAAATAAATACATCGCATAATAATCTGTGGTTCTGGGTGCTGACCAAGTCGTGGTGCCTGGGTGCCTGGAAACTTGAGGAGTTTCTCTTTGACCCTAGCTTGGCGACTAAAGCTCTAGTGTTACTTGCTGAGCTGCAAGTAACGTTCCCCTCAAGATGTGTTGTTCAGTGGGTATTCCCTGATCCCCATGAGGAGATGTGATTCCGTCTGTGTTGCTCACCCCTCCATGAAAGGCAAAACAAACCCGGCATTATGGGGAGACAGCGTACTGCTGGTGTTCACAGCAGCACAGCACCTCTCCAACCCGAAGGCGGGCCAGCATTAGGACAACCACCTGAAGAACAATTGGGAATCTGTGTACTTGGTCAGTCCTCCGAATCCTTCAGCCTCTGTTTACTGAGGGTGCTGCTCTCTGCTTGTGGTTCTGGGAAGAGACTGAAGTGAGGCATCGATAGGTGAAGCAGCAGAAGAGGGGGAAAAAGCACAACCCCATTCCCACCCCCGGGAAAGAACACAAACATTTCCCCCTCTTCCCTCCCACCTCACACACGTGGAGCAGCTAAAACTGCGTGTTTAAATTCCAGAGGTTGCAGAGTGACTCCCAGCTGTGCTACAGACTCCCCTGCCTCTGGCTGGGAGACGGCACAACAGTGTTGCGCCAACTGATGCTGACTTAACTGTTAAGTGCAGTTGATAGCTGGATGGTGGGACAGGATGCACTTTGGCCACCTCACCAAAGGTATGTGGAGGCCGATGACTCTTTTTCCTCAGGCCTGAAATGCTGGTGGTTGCTCGGGTTGGGACAGAATGCCTGCACCTTTCCGTCCCTGTGTAGAGGCCCTCCTAATCTCGGTAAACATCCACACACCAGCCAGGAACGTAGGAGTTTCCATCAGCAGGCATTTGCCTGGTTTTGGACAAGTTGGATTTCTTCGGTGTCTGGCACATTTACAATAATATTAATTTGATCCCCAAACATAGACTTTGGAAAGAGAAAAAAATTGTTTACATGCAGAGTGCCAAGGAACATCATCTTTTCATGCCCCAACAGCTCCTGGTGTTTTCTGTTTCTTTGTTCCTTATTACCTCAGGAAAAAATTCCTAACCTACTTGTCTTTTTGACTGATGCTCTGAGCAATGATGACATTTGCACAGATCTACAGTGAGTCCAAGTTCTCTTCCCTGGCCATTTACAGCTTACGGTGGTTTACATATAATGAAAGTTATTTTCTCCCATATAAAGCAGTTTGTCACTGTTTTTCTGTCTGGTCAGTCTGTTTGACGAGATCCTTCTGAAACCCTCAGTAATCTGTCTCTCCTGAATAATTTGTGCTCCACAACTGCAGCTGGGACTAGTTCACACAAGTACACCTCTCTTAGGTGAGGCAACTGATACCAAACCTATCCTCACATTTCCAGCTTCTTTAAAGCAAATATTTACTTGCTATCTCCAGTTACGAGCTTAAATATTGCCCCCTAAAAGTCATTATAGTGGTAGCTATAACTGTGACTTCTTTCCTACATTAAATTATATAAATAGCAATATTTCATCTATCTCGGACTCTGGAAGCCAGTGGTAATTTTTCTATCATTGATTAGAGTTGGCTTGGGTCAAGCTTTACACAGTGTTTTCTCACCCCTTGTCCTACTTATTCCTTATTTCTATTTCACATATGTATCTAACTCTTCAGAATGTTGCACTTTTATTTCTCTCTGTTGAAGAGAAATCCTGATAAGGAGGTCCCAGAGGTCTTTAGCTTGTCATCGCATCCCTTCATAGGCTGAATGTGTGCAGAATGCTTTAGGAAGAAGCAAAAGCTAAATATAGAATCATTTAAAGCCTACCCATTAAGGGCATGCCTACATGACACGAATGCAACTAACTTAAGTGCTGGGAGCTGTGTAGTCACAGAGCTAAGTATAACCGAAACAGAGGAACTGGCTCACAAACTGTTCCCCCGCGCTCACATCCTGTCTCTCGGTGCCAAGTATCAGAGCCTTGGAGGAAGATATAAAAGCTCATAATAGACAGTTATATTCTAACTTGCCCATAGGGTGACTTTCTTCCTGATTCAGCTCTTGAGCAGTTGGTTTATGGCCTGAAGTGTGTGACGCTTCTGCATTTCTCTTACCTAGTTTTATTGCAGATGTGTTTTTTATTCACATAAACTGATAATACAAGTGGCCTTATAGGCTGGCCAAAACAATGAGAAATAACCTCATGCAATAGTGACATATTACAACTAGCCTCAGCTGCCCCTGCAGATATTAATGGAAGGTGAGGACTTGGACTAAAGTCCAGAAAGACGAAGCATTGATTTTTCATTAATTAAGCCTATA